TTTCAGTCCATCACAGATTCTCCTTTTCTCTCTGAACACATTTTACCTTTTCACACTTTTGCGCTTTTTCTCATCCTGTTTCCTCCTTCAGTGCCCACCCTAAATGTCAGCACCTCTAGGAAGAGAAACCATCTTTAGCTTCCAACTCAGAATTGACGGTCAGTTGGAAAAGACCAAGCTCAAAAAGGGGCTCCCAGCACTCAGAAGTCAGGAAGAACACAACAGAAGAGACTGAGAAGAAACAAACCACAGGGTCCAAGGAAAAGGCAGGTGGTTTGGTGAGAGTCTAGTGAACAAGGGTTGAACAAGAAGAGAACCCAGTATTGATGCCAACAAGTTGCTGAGAAGGTAGGAAGATGAAAACAGAAGATTGGCTCTTGGACTTGGCAACACAGAGGTCACTGTCACTTCCAAAAGTGTGCTTTTAGTGATATGATGGGAACAAAAGACTGATTGGGTTGATGTCCAAGAGATCACTGGAAGTAAAGAAGCTGGTATTTGTTGAATGGGTGAAGAATGGATGAATGAAGAAATGAAGTATTAGAGAGGATTCTATAATTGATCAGGAACCAAAACAGATGAGTTACTTGGGACTCTTTGAGTCTCAAAAATCTCCAAATAGAAAAAGATGGCAGTTAAGAGGTGGTTCTGTCCTGTTTGTCTTTTATCTATTGCTGACCCAGGTCATAAAGACTTCATGCAAGATTCCTCAAAGATTTGGGGGAAGAGCTGTCTCTGCAGGGCTCATTTCCAAGAGACCATTTCCAAACTCCTCTTGCTAGTATGTGAGCTTGCTATAAGAAGCTGAGTCTCTTATAGTGAGAGTACATACTGGTTCTATTTTAGTAGACTCAGTGTACAGCTGAATCTCGTTCTCTTAGAAGCTGGGCAGAACCGAGTCTGAATGACTGGAGAGAGGTGAACAGGGAACTGACTTCTGTATAAAAGCTTTATACAGGAATATTAATGGGGCAAGCTATATGCTCACCTGTATTTAATGAAGAGCGAGGGGTGCTCCTAACTGTCCCTCCCTGAGGTCTGTAACAGGAATGCAATATGCAGACACAGATCTTGGGAAGACCAGACTCAGACTTTGATGTTTGTGCTATCCTCTCTGTGACATTCCTCAAATAGTCAGATTTTTAAAAGGTACTTTGGTACAGAGTCCATGTCAAACATGTTTTTACTTGCATGATTGTGGATAAATAAAGGTCACTACCAATAGTATGTTTCCCTGTAGAGGATTCCTGATGGTGGCATCAGGTGTGGGTTGTGAACTAGAACCAGTTACAGATATTTGAAGAACCCCACCTGCCATGCCGTGTTTCCGGCACTTCCCCAAGTACATCAGGTGTTCTTATTTGACTGTCTGCCTGTGCTGTGCCCTGGAACACTCAGACCCCCTTTGTCCAGGCACCACTAGATATAGGGTCACCTTCTCTACCTAGGAGGCTTTCCTTACTCCAACCATTCTCATGAATGTTGTCCCTTCTCCACTGTGACTATATCGAATGACAGTCATTGATTCTGTCTCCTTCGTTGAGTTGGGGTTTTCCTGAATTCAGTCCTTTTGTCATCTTCCTGTTCCTTTTAAAATAATGCACATGCTTTTTGGACACACAGTCAGTATTGGATGCGTTCAGAATGCTGCAGGGTGTCAGTGAGTGAATGAATGAATACATGGGGGGAAAAAGTCAGAAAAATGGTATCCCCTCCACAAGGGCAGCTTCAATGAGAGCATGAAAGTGCCAATGGCTTTACCTACATGCAGAATTTGTGACTGTAAAGGCACTTTCCAAGCCCAGCTGAGATGACAGATTCATTAGAGCAAAGTGCATCTGAGGAAGAGAGTGATCCAGATACTCCATTCCTCAGATTGTAGAACAAGATGGTTAGAACCGAGTTGACACAAAGCAGAGCTGGGTGGTACGAGCTGATTGATTTTGAGCTAGATTGGGGAGAGAGATTTTCCAGGTAGAACACGTGAACATTGCTCTGTTATTCCTTTTAAGCAAGATTTTCTTTTTTTCAGTTTAAGATTTAAGGGAAGATACATCTTCATAAATTTTTTATCTAAGGCATGGTTTCATTGTGAAAAATAAAGAAAAGAGAAACAAACCACCTATTACCTTTCTGAAATGGAAGTTCCATTAGGCAGTCTTATCTTCCCACATGTCTGGGCTTCTTTCATGCATAATTTGTAAAATGATAATAGCCCTTACTAATATTTACATTTTATAAAAGTGTTGTAACTGTAAATTAGATAGTATAAAATGGGTTTGGATGTCTTCTTTGCAAGAAAGGCATTATACACAAATGAGGTATTATTATTTAGTTTTTCCATTTCAATGTCATTAAATGAAAATTAGATGAAAACTCTGCTTTAAGCAATATCCACTTGGCAAATGATTATTGACTGGAGTGAAATGAAAAAACAAAAACAAAAACAAAAACACAAAACCTTCAGTTGAAAACTCAGTTTGTGCAGCTTCACTGGGTTGTGTGAAGGCAAAATGTTGTGTTCGTTGTGATTTTGCCACATTCTTTATCTGCTCTCTGTGCTATAATCACAAACTGAAGACAGTTAAGCCTTTCAGTTTAGTCCTCCTGTGCCTTTTAGAGGACAAAGATACCTGGAAATGATTGCAATTTAGAAATAATGTTTCAACTAGGCAAGTCCTGCAGTTAATTTTTCTATTGATTTGGGGCCTCAATGAACCATCTCAGCCTTTCCTTCAACTCCTACTTCTTAGGCTCCAGAAAGCCATGGCTGCAACCTTTCAGCAGTTTAGTTATAGCAGATGACAGGGCTGGGCTCCCAGTAGCACGACTCAGGTGAGAGACGTCCTGTCTCCTTGCACTACAGGGTTAATATGACAAGAGGAGGGTTGTGGAAATAAGATCTTGGGAATTGTGTGTGTGAGAAACTTTACTTAGTAGGCATGGAAGAGAGCAGCACCCTGGGAGGAGCTGGGATACGGGAGTTGGTGTGATACACACCCCTCTTCAGCACATACAGCAGCTTCAGCCCACTTCTCATGGTGGGCCCTGTTCCTCCCTCTAGTCCAAACCTCTTCGAAGGCCCATCCATTATGTCTTGGCTCACCTTCACACCTGGGGACCAACCTTCAGTGAAGCTTGCAGTTGTGGTCATCTGTTTTTCACCTGACCCATTTATTTTGACTTTTGCATTTTGTTCTCAGAAAGGCCCCCTGCCTGGGTAGCTGCCTGGCCAGCTGTGGGGCCAGCTGTCTGCTCCAGACTCCAAGGTCACCATACTCCTCTCCCCTCTCTCTGACTGGCCCCAATACATGAGCAACGGCAACTGGCAAGCAATAAGGATGGTATGACAGTTGTGCCTGGCTAGATGTTTACCTGAGAAGGTCACTTCACTGGTAGGCTGCTCCAAGAGGTCAGGTGAAGATTCATGCGCCATCGTGGACCTTGGATCCAGGCAGACTGAGTCAGCCTTAGCAGCCTAGTGAAGAGGTGGGTGCAGAAGAGTCGGGGGTGGGGGGGACATGAAAGATTTATTTACTCTACTGTTGACAACATCCAGCCCAGGCTATTGAAGCATGGCCAACACACAGGCCACACCAACTGGGAGCAGCACCATCTGGTCAACAGCTAATAGAAAGGTGGCGAGGGGGCCCCCAATGGTGGCCCCATTTCCTGAGTTTGTGAAGAAATCTAGAGATAGTATCATACACCTTTAAAGCAAACTCTCTCAACTGTTGTTCATTGATTATTGTTATTCCTCAACTTACTGTGACCTGGTCTTTGCCTCCACTCATCCTGCCCTTGCCCAACTGGTCAAATATGGCTTGGGTGCCCATCCTATGGGTGCTTCTCAGTCTTGTTCTTTCTTGAACTCTTGGCAGCATTTACCTCTGCTAACAACAGCCTACTTGTTGAAACTTGCTGTTCCCTTGTTCTCTGCGATACCTCCTCCTTCTCGTTTTGCTCCTGTCTTTCTGGCTGCATTTCTTTGCTCATCCTCTCAAGTTTGGTGTTCTTCTGGGATCTCTTAGGGTCCCTTTTCTCTTCCCCAACACACTCTGCCAGGGTATCTTTCATTCCTGTGGATTCCATTGTTGCTGTCATGTGTAGTGATTCCTAAATCTGCATCCTCAAACTTTTAGGTCAAACACTCACTGAGTGTCTCCAGGCATCTTAAATCAAGTGTTACCAAGGCTGAAGTCATCCCTTGCCCCCTCAAACGTTCCCTGTGTGTAGTTGTATTTTTGCTGTCTTAGTAATATTGCTGTCAACTCCGTTATTTAAGTCAAAACACTGTCGTGCAAGCAATCCTAACTTTCAGTAGCTTCTACTCCTTCTGTCGCATGGCATGCTAGCTTCTGAATAATTGAGGTCCACTTACTTTTCCAGTGTGAGTTCCACTTACCTTTCCAGGTTACTTTTCACCACTCTGCCTCAGTGCTCATTTGCCTGTTATTTCTATCACCTCTAAAATTTGCATACACTGTGGCGTCCTCCTGAAACAGACTTGCCCACCTCTTTATTTAACTAATTCCTTCACACTTTGTAAATCTCAGTAGAGAAGTCATTAACTTCCAGTTGTCTCAAAGTCTGGGCTAGATAACCCTCCTTGAGCTCTTGGTACATTCTTCATAACACACTATTGTAGCAGTGCTGTTCTGCTGCTTTTATCTTGCCCTACTGTAAGTCCTACTTTAAGGTCCCTGCAAGCAGGGCCCACATTTACCCTATTCACATTTACTTTACTGGCACCAACAAAGTACTTGCACAACATAGATGTCCAAGGGATGCTGAAGTAGAATAGTTGTGAGAATGCAAACTAAATTTCCGTTCAGAGGATGAAAGGGGGAATTACTACACAAAGATTTATCCAGATCCTCGAACCTCCAAGGGATTTGAAAGTATCTAAAACTATTTAGGAAACTTTGTCAACATTAGTAGCATGAACAGAGTAGTTAACAGTAGATTTCAAATCTGTGCCTCGTGGGTTTCTTTTCCAGAGTTCAATTCCCAGAGTCTCTGAGCTATGTTTTCAGCTCATCCAGGCATTCCATTCTCCTGACTTTCCATAAAATGTTGGATTCATCACCCACTCCATACTTAAGAACATGGGGATAAGACAATGGTAAGTATTTGTCTTTCTATTATTTTTTTCCCCAAAGTATATTAAACTTGAGGAACAATAATTTAGAAATTCTCCTCTGTGGAGTCTTTATGATGGTGTATCTGGCTTCCCTGATTGCCTAGACAATCTCCCAACATTGAATATCCTGTGTACATGTCAAAAAACTGGGACAGCTCTTCAGGAATTATACCCTTTTCACATTTTTTTTGTGCTATTTAAATTACCAATCATGATTTTAGCATTTTTCCCCCCAACATGACTCCACATAGAGATAAATGAGTCTTGAGCAATCAGAAAAATTTCCCTCTCCAGGGCACCAGATAGGCCAGATGCACATTAATGTAAGACATGAGCTGTACAATCAGACTTCGGTAAACCAGCAGCTCTGCTTTCTCCACGCTGTCTGGAGACAACCTCCCAGTTAACCTTCTAGAGCTCTCTACCTGAGTAAAGTTAGCATATAGAATCTTAGACACTACTGACCTTATTTGTTGATTATCTATCTCTTGTAGAATGTAAGCTTCATGAGGGTGGGGATTTTGTTCTCTTTGCCACTCTACGATCAGTACTTGGAACAGTAACTGGCACATGATCCGCCCAAGATAAATATTTGACTGAATGGTGTTATTTAAAAAAAAGGCTAATGCACACTGAGAGCTCTGGAGAACTAAAAGAGGTCTGGTTGGCAGCTCTGTCTCCCTTAACCTTTTACTGATGACTAAGATGAGAGTATGCTGAATAAATTTACAGATGACACACAGCAAGAAGGGTAACAAACAACTTGGGAGATACTCTAAGGATTCCCCCTCCCCCAAATCCTGACAACATATAATACTGAATCATATCTAACAATATAAAGTTTAATGGGAACAAATATAAAGTACTCAAAGCTCTGAAAAATTCAATTTATAAGTACAGGTTGGGGGCGAGATAGCTTACAATTGATTGTGAGTAGATGATGAGTCAACCCAGTGTGATGGTACTTTTTTAAAAAATCAATCTTTTGTTGTATTAATAGAAATATAGTGTTCAAATGGGGAAGTCATTCTCTTGTAGTCACTGGTGATCAGGCCACATTTATTCTGCTTTGTGATTCTGATCTGCAGAGACAATAAGAAGAAGATTATTCAAAAAAGGTAAAAAGAAACAAAAGGGGTCTGGTAAACAGCCCCCTATAAACAAATGAAAGGATTTAAGCTCCTGTGTGGGTGTGCCAGGAAGAGGATGGTGGATGTAGATAGCACAGGTGGCCACTTCCACAGTGAGATGGGCTATCGAGCAAAGAAGAGTCTACGTTTCTTCTGGGTAGCCCCAAAAGACAGATTGAGGACCAGTGATGAAGAGGTTACTTATGTAAACCCTCAGGGATTTATCAACAACTAGATTTGCCTAGCAATCAGGTGGACTGCTGCTAGAGGTAGTGGGTGCCCATATCCTGAGGGGTATTCAAGCAAAGGCTGGGTACTCACGCCCCATTTGCTGGATACATTGATGGTGAAGTTCGAACATGGGGGGAGAGATTAGATTAATCCCCGTAGTAAACACACATGGGGGTACTTCTTATGTGGCAGGTGCCATAAGAAGTGATAAATGTCAGTAGTTATTTTTAATATTCATATCAGTCCTACTACTTCCATCTTACAGATGAAAAAAGCAAGACTTTGAGAGATTAAGTAACTTGCCTAAGGTCTTTCATCTTGCGCAAAACAAAAGATTTGAACTCAGGCAGTCAGAAGTATGACCTTAATTATTATTCTAGAAAGACTCCTACTGCAGAACACCATTCTTTTCTACCTGAGATTCTATCACTTTAATGAAGTAATCAAACTAAGGAGCTTATTATCACTATTAGTAAATTATTCTATAGTAAATAGGTCCTTTCAATATAGTATTTCAGAACTAAATTAGCCTGAGCATTTGCCATTTGTGGCACTCTGTGGAGCTCCACATCGGACCTGGCGCACATGGTTGCTCAATAACTATGAAGTGCAAAGAATGAGTGAATGCAACCACACAAGACTGGTTGCATTTGAAATGACAGAATCTCAATATATTGCACCTGAGAAAAAAACAAGCACATTTCTGGGTGGTCTATGAGGACAACAGGTAAAAATATGATCATCCATCATTCCTGGCAAAGGCCTTATGAATTCCTGCTCAATGTTTGGACAATATTCATTTATACGAATATTTATTGAATACCTGTCCTGTGCTTGGTATTTCCAACGTGCTGAGGATGCAGAGTTGAATCAGAGGAGGCACTATTAGTGGGGGAGATAGACAGATTAGCAAAGTCTTATGATACAATGTGACAAGTACAATAGCAGGTGTGTGTGTGTGTGTGTGTGTGCATTATCTATGTGTTTTAGGTGTTGTGAAAGTACAGAGCAGAAAGAAACCAATTCCACTTGACTGAAGGAGTTGTCTAATACTTGATAGTGCTTTTAAAGTGATTGCCACATAAGTGAAATGAGTTTATTTGGCCTTCATAAAGACCATGTGAGGAAGTGATCATTCACAGAGGAAGAAATAGCCTTGTGGAGGTGAAGCAGGTTCCTCAAGGTCATGCAGTTAGTAATAATAATTGCTGGTGTTTACTAAGCGGTTAGGATACCCAAGGCTCTGCTGTAGGTCCCATTAAGATATTTAATCTTCACAACTTTTCTATGAGATCATTATTGAGATCATCACCATTTACCAATGAGAAAAATGAGGCAGAAGATTTAAATAACTTGCATAGAGTCACACAGATAGAAAAGGGAAGAAAAAGAATTTGCACCTATGCATTCTGGCTTCAATAGGCACATGCTCACCCACTGTGCTAAATTGTCTTTGGTTGATCTCCTGAAGAGTTGGAATTCACACATATATTCTGACTGCAAGTTGGAATTTTTTTAAGTGACCTTGCCACTTAGCAATTGTACATCCAAATGAAAAGAAATGGTGTATGTGTGGATACAAGGAAAGGTTTTATAGGTCAGGCATCCATAAAAGTGTTTTGGGAGAGGTAGGGTCAGATCTATAATTTGCATGAACACGACTACTGACCATCATCTTGGCACAAGTGTTAGATCCCCACATTTTCAGTATGCAGAACTTTCCAGGGCAGCCAGAACGTGGCCTGTTGCCCTCCAGGCCAGCAGTCTGGTTTCTAGGGACTGTGATTTGCTTCTCTTAGCATCTAGGCATCAGTGCTTACCCTGCAGCCTCCTAAAAATTAGTTTAAAATTTTGTAAAAAGAAGACAACAAGATGTAAGACAGTCAGAATGAAACAAGTTAAGTTTTCAATATTTTACATATAAGCAAGAATGGAGATACAGAAAAGGAGAAATGAAGCACATAATTGCTTAAATTGTTCAAGATTTCTCTCCATAATAAAAATTCTTAGACTGAGAAATCGTTCAATCCAATATTATTGTGCCTTAATAATTAAGTGGGGTTGGCTCTGTGGCAAATCTGAAAAAGAAATGGTTATTAAAATGAATGAAGTAGATTATCTTTTCCTCAGTAATTACTACTTCATCTAAAGTGGATATGACCTGTGCAATCAAATCTTTCTGCATTTTTAAGACATCCACGTCCCATTATTTTTGGAGATCCGGTCATTTTAAAAATTGGTTGTAAGCTGGGATTTCTGTGGCAGGTGGAGGGTATTTGTTCTTTGTCCTTTGTCATTCTTCCCTTCAAAGCAGGTAGGGTTTTTGGTTTGTTCTGTTGTTCCTGTTTTGTTTTGTCATTTATGGAAACTTAGTAGATTCAACTGATTATCTTGGCCTTTGTGTTTATGGATTTCTATTTTCTTGGCTTCCAGTCCTTGGAAACATTTGTTTTGATGGTGGCAGGAGAGTTAGTCATGCTTTATTTTTGTTGTTCCTATTTATTCTTAAGATCCTTTAATTCAAGTCCACTTACAAGGTGTTGTGTAACCTGTATTTATGTCTCAACAAATACAATATTCCTGGTGATAACTTTAGAGCAACCTTATAGGAATATTTAATAATCTGACTGCCAGCTGAAGTCCATCAGAATGATTGTAGACTTTGAAGAGTTAGAATAAGTATATGCTTTGGAAAATCATGCTTGAAATTTATGATTGGATCTATCATTTAACCTGCGAGATTTCAAGTTTTTTAGATTAATTATTTTTGGGTTACCAAACAGCCCAATTCTTATAAACATATTTTTCCTTTTCATCATTGAGTTCACAAAAGTTGGAAAATCTTTTCTCACATATTCCATTCTTTCACTAAGCCGGAAGGTAAATTGTTTTTAAAAACCACATCCCAAACAAAGTTTTTCCCGAAGTTATGAGTAAGTGAGTAGAATGGGTTCTGCTGGCGTTTCAGATGTACATCTAATTAGAACTCTCCGTATTTCAAACATGTCATTTGCCAAAATTGAGGTTTTTAATTGTTAACTTTGAGTCCATTGGGATGAAGTCAGTGGCCCTTGTTGGAAATATGCCAAGAATCAACTCTCTCAGGTTGACCTTTAGTTTGTTGGCTACCAAAAACGAGCTCTGTGTATTCCCAGTCTTAAAGATGACTGAACAGGCTTAGGTTTGTTAAAAGATCAAGGCAAAGGTCAGAACTTCTTTGCTGCTGAGAGAAGCCCATTGCTGTGCTTCTGGGTCAGTTTCTTCTTGAGCCAAACTCCTCTTCGCTGGACCTTCTTTACTGTGAAACAAAACATGTGGCATCCCTGCACCCTTTCAGCATTGGGGGAGGCAGGGAACCCTGATTTTTATAGCCAGACAAATGATGCCCAGCCTTTGAACTGACAACACATTTCCCAGTATTTGGGGGTACTGAAGATGGCCACAGATACTCCATTCACCATTGTTGGTAACTTAGAAAAGATAACAGCATTTGCAATCAACTAAATTTTTGTGTGATTTCAAGCAAGCAATTTAGACTGTCTCCAAAATAACTTTTTGTTAGGGTTATTGTAGTAAGTAATTGAGATTATGTATGAAATTACTTAGCACAAAACCTGGTAC